CTGAGAATGTAGCAGGGCTTGGGCTCTTTCTAGGCACTTTTTTTTTTTTTTTTTTTTTTTTTTAGAGGGGGCATTGTCTCATTTAATTCTCATTACAACCTAATGTGAAGATGCTATTACAGTTATTCCCCTTTTATGGGAGAGAAACTAAGGCTCTGAGAGGTGAAGTACTTGTCCAAGGTCACACAATTCAGTAACGGAGATGCAGGGTTTAAAAACCTTTAAATCTCAACACTTTAACTAAAATCTGGCACATTGAGCCTTTCTTATGGACTTAGAACCAATCAGAACTGGGAAGCTGGAGAAAATCACTTTGAACTTGGGTTTCTGTCATGCACAAAAACAAATCAAAGTGCAAGAAAAGGTTCAGTTCGCAGTGAAAGGATGTTTTCCAGTTTTGAATTAATTTTGCATTCCCATTTTAAGGATGGATTAAATGGCCAATGATTATTATCCAGTATAGCTACATACAAGCAGTTAGTTTTAGCAAAACCTTATGAATTCATGCCAGGTTATTTGCTGTTGAGACAAATTGATTTTTAAAGCAATTTGTTTTGCTTTGAATGAGATCATTAGGCACTGATGAGTATTTGAAAGTATATATGAAGTTTTACAAGTGTTCTTGAATTTTACTAGTTTTACAGTCAATATTTTGAGTGGACAGAGAGGCTTAAACTAATAAGTGCTTGTTTTCACACTGACTCTGTAGACTGAACTCTGATTCATAAATTCATAATTGTTCTCTGAGTCTGTTGATTCATCTCTGAGTTATGTTGTCTAGCACAATTCCTGGTATACATGAAGCAACTAATAAATGTTCCTTGAATTATAATGATCAGAGTGTTTAGTCTTTAACATATTAAATTCATATCATGTCTGATTATTGAAAAGTTTAAAATTATACATTAAATGCTAATATGAATTGGGGAGTTTAGGAACCAAAATTCTTTTGAAGAATTTTCTTGTCTGATGTTTGATATTTAGAGCTGGGTATAAAGCAAATTTCTGATATTTGTATTCTCTATGAAATGTGAGTTTCAATGGCTATTGAGAAATGGGCTACAATTTTTTTCTTTTTCTTTTCTTTTTTTTGAGAGAGACAGTTGTGTTTTCTATATTTTTTTCTGGAACCAAAGGCTTTATTGAAATGGGAACAAGCCTAATAAATAAGTAAAATATAATTTAAAATTTAGACCAGAGATGCCAAAATGAAAGGTAAGTTCCATAGCTGCAGAGTTTGCAGTTATTTGGATTGAATTTTAAAATCAAATTATTTATTCAACTAAGAACAAGTCCTGCTAGGAGATGTCTAGTCTTAAGCTGCTAGCTGGCTAGAATCATAATTAGAATAATATTTGTGTTCACAGCATCTGAGAAACCACCTGTTGTTTCTCATCCTCTTCTCTCCCTGCTCCCTACCTCAGAGCAGGCTTTAACCCCTGTGCTAGAAGCTTAATTTCTGTTAATAGTAGATGAGGATTTTCCCCTGGGTCTTCCCAGCACTTTAAGCTTCTTTCTAACACTAAAATTCACAAGATAAGTAGAAAAATGCAAAGGAGGTACAATTCTTTAAATTCTTTTGTCTGCTACTATTATTTTTCTGGTTTGACTGAGGTTTGCATCATGAATTCTCATGCTTGCTCCATCAACATATAATCAATAAAGCCATGTCTTAAGTCTTAAGTATAAATTTAAATTACCTACCACATGCCCCAATCATGTGAGTTTTGGAGACCAGAGTTGGGCAACTGAGGTCCTGATCTGGTTCTGACACAGTTGAAATGTGTCAGCTTGGTCAAATTGCTTAGTCTCTGAGCTATTTACCTCAGTTCTAAAAATATAGGGGCTAACTAGTTAATCAGATGACCCTGAGAAAAGGGGGAAAAGATGTGAATAATTAAATAATATGGTACAATTCAATAAACTGAGTTGACATTCTGACCTCAAACATACCCATCCCCTCCAGAGTCCCTTTCTAGGGTTAACAGTGCTTTGGCCAGTGCCTGCCTTGGCCAAAGATGCCATAAGCCCCAACATGTGAAAGTGGCTAGTCCTTCTTCCTTGCTGTCTCCCATTCTCTTCTCCAGTCTATGGTTGGAACAGCCACTGAAGTGTCTCTAGTGCATGCTGATCTGAAGATGGTGGGAGATGTCCACATGTCACCTTGCTCTCGTCAGAGCACTAGAGACTCCTGTGCCTCCATCAAATTCAGTGTATTTCATCTTAAAAATCTCTCACAGATACTTATTTATATCCTTATTTTCCCATGAATTCTTTTTGCCCTCTCCATTTAAAATAAAACCTCAAAACATTTTTCTATTTCACTCGTAAAGAACAAAGTTCCAGTGTCATCTAAAAAATAAGAGTAAAAATAATGATGCCCTTCATGAAGGAAGAGAAAAACTGGAACTTTTAAGGTTACATTAGACTGGTAACACCATCTCTAGAGTCCTCTAAAGTGACTATTAGTTCTATTCAGAATTTCTGCAATTTCATGGTTTTTAAACATTTAAACCAATTCATCTGATACCACAAGCAATCAAAATATACACAGAGTTTATAATATTTAGTTTTCCTGTTTTCAGTTACTAGCGTAGCAAAAATGTTGTTGCCACACATGCAATGTATTAAGTACCTACTGGTAAAGATAGCCAAGAGGAGGGAACACACAGCTATTGGAGAAGGTGGGACCGGATGCTTGAACTGGATTTGGTAGTCTGAATACAACATTTTCAGTCAGTTGATCCAAAGAAGACATTTCAAGCACAGGACTTAGAGGTAGGGTGCCACTTGATGCACAGTGAGTTGCTTAATGATACTGTAACAGTATAAATTGTTTGAGGGCACTGAGGCAAGGGTGAGAACTGATGTGTGTGTGTGGGGGGATCATTTCTACCATAAACCTGTACACACAGGGGTAAACTGCTTAAGCCATCATTTCTAAAAATGGAGAAATGGCAGATTTTGTGTTCCTGAGGGTCCCTGCTGCCACTCCCTAGTGGTGAAAATGGCTAAGTTGAACAGCACCTGATGCTGGGCAAGGAAAGGGCTTTGGGAACCAGGTGAATGAGGAAGAGGAAGCAAGAGATAATTCTGAAAGCAAAGCAGCTCACCTCTGGGGCTCATTCTAAGGCCCTCTGTTCATAGGTGGATGATAAAGATTTTTTGCAGACACCAGAAATTGTGAGCCCTTCTCTCTCTGAGAATGAGAAGGCAAGGGAAGAAGAAGGGAGGGGGACCAGCATGCTTTAGGGAGGTACTGAGCTAGAGCCTGCTCCTTCCAGGCAGGGTGACCAGGACTGCAGCCTGGGGTGCCGCGATCTTTCCAAATGGCCACCGATGCATTTCCATTAAGACTCAACTACCTGTCCTATCAAAAGGCTAGAAAACCCATTTAAGCCATGAGAAGTTAAACTAGCTCTGTTTTCTCTCTGTAGTAGTGCGTCTTCAGGAATCAGACACCTACTAATACACGATAGAAAAATAACATACCTCCAACCCCACTGACACGCTAACATCTGTTGAATTCGGCAGTTTTACTAGAGGGTGCCATTTCAAATATGAATTTTAATCATTTAATTTAATAAAACAAACCGAGGAGAGTAACAGTTGAAGTGTCATAGTTGAATTTTCTGCCCAGGTGGCTTTTTCCACTTTGCTTGCCCTATACACAAGAAATATGGGATGGCTTCCGCATTACCTCATTTCTTCTGACCAAGACCCACTTCCCAGTGCTCCATCTCTTGAATGCCACATAAACCTCAGGATGATTGGTTTCCTTCTCTTTTCTAAGTACTTAAATACTCATTGTTTGAGACCAACATTGGTTTGTTTTTAAAAAATTCCTTTCTTTGCTCAGACCATTACTTTTTTTATAATATTCTTTATAGATTATTAGGCAACTTAACCAAAAAAAAAGTTTCTGTCATAAGTTATTAAAAACAAAACCAGGCGAGTTTTAATTTCCTAGTCTCTTTCCATGAGAAAGAGAGAGGTAATTTTTGGTGTATCTTTTCTGTCCACCCCATCTCTCACCGCCAATGGCATGTCAGGATTCCACTGCATAGGGCCAGCCAAAACTCCAAATACATAAACACACACTCATATTCTTTCTTCTCAAGTGAAGCCACTACTTTACAAATATTTACCAACATATTCCACAAAGGGAGAGATCATCCTGGAATCACTTATAGCATGTGTAGTTTATGGAGCCCATTGGGGTCCTTCAGGGGGATCCTAGGCATCTTTGTGTCCTTGTGCTCACTGTTAGAAACAGCAAATTCTCCATGACAGTCCCAAATACAGCACATTCTTATGATATGACAAATCCTCTATGAATCATCATTTCCACATTTGTGGGTGAGTTGATTTTTCCTTTTATCAGTTTAGGGTTGTTTGTATTATTGCTGCTTGTCAAAGAGGAAACTGAGGCACGAGAGTTTACCAACTTGCCCAGGACATAGAAAGGGTGTAGGCCAAAGGCAGTCCTGGGAATATCATACATTCTATAGTTGTATAGTTAACAATTGGAAGATACATTTTACTTTATATGCAGAATTACAAAAAGCAACTCAAAGAGTATATATATATATATATATATATATATATATATATATATATATATTTGTTTCTGAAGGTAGCTCTAATATGTCAACAAGAAATGTTGGAGGCAGGATGGACATTAAAAAGCATCCAGTTTCCACCTCTCCTCTGGAGGACTGAAACTCTGGAAACTCAGCTTGTTTAAGCCCACAGGGCAAGCCTTGAAGCAGGCTAAGCCCAAATCCCAGGTTTCTTATTTCCACCCCAATGCACCTCCTACTTTATCACTCTTAAATTTTTAGATGCTTTTCTACAACAGAGCCAACATTTGTAAGTCCCAGCCCTTGGACCCTAAACTGTACAGTTTCTCTTCCTTCCTTTTCCCACTTTTATGACTTGGGCTCTTCGAGTAATCAGATGTGGCCTTGCCACCTTGTTGCACCCCACAGTCAATTTACCTGGAAAGCTGTGGAGAGCATCTTCGTTTTCCAGAATGCCTCTCTGTTTGGTTGCCTGCAGCTCACTTTTGGATTTCCAAACCAGCTTGACCATCCTGATCATCTCTGGCAAGTCCCAGGGCAGCGGCCCCTGCTGGCACCCCGGCCGGCTGCCCAGGGAGGAGGGCAGCACACCTTCTGGGGCTGTCCACCTCCTGCCTAGCTCTGCCGAGTGGAAATACCGCTCTAGTACAGGCATTCTGCCCTGTGCCCCACAAGAGGCGGTAGGGCTGCCGCCGCCACCGTCGCCGCCGCTGCCGCCGCCGCTGCTGCTAGCAGAAGGGAAATTCTTCCTCTGCAGGGGTAGCCGAACCCCCGTGAGATCCTCTCCAGCCTTGGAAAGACAAGCCTCCTCCAGCCTGGCACAGCCTCCTGTCTCTCCGGTCCCCGCGCAAACGCTGGCGACGAGAGCGAGGCACTTCCCAAGGTTTCTCACTGGTGAGAAACTGTTACTGTACTCCTTCCTGAGAGATAGAATGCATTTTTTTTTTTCCTTTTCCCTTCTCTCTCAGGCACTGAGTTCACAGCACTTAATTAATCCCAGACTACAGCTGGAACGACAGCGGGGGGAAGAAAAGCCATTGAGTTCTCTGCATTTGCTTTCCCTCCTCTTCCTCCTGATTTGTTTCCAATTTGCTTTTTGGTGCTTGTCAAAGTTTGTCAAACGTCTTAGCTCTGAAGGACTTCAGGCAAAGAAGGGAGGCTTTCTCTCTGCCAGACTCTTCGGGGTCCCCCAGAGGCCAGTTATCTCGAGGTGTCAGGTGAGGAGTCAACCACAGACTGCAGGAAGCCTAGAAGCTTCCAGGTCTCTGGTCCTGCAAACCCCCAGGAGCTCTCAGGAGAAAAAAAAAAAAAAAAAAAAAAAAGAAGCTGAGCACCGCAGAACCAGTTCGCAGCAGCTTCTCTCCAAAGGCCAGGTGGGGGGACACACTGGGATGGAACTGGGCTGATCTTCCGATTGCAGATCAAACAAACACTCTCCCTCCTTCTCCGCACCCCTCCCCCTTCGCTGTCATTTGGTTCTCAGCAAACCTAACAGGGTTTTGGCTTATTAGTCAAATCCCTTTGTAACCTCAGCTGCCCTTCAGCTGGAAGGGAAATAACATCGAATCACATTCCAAAGCTGCGAAAGAAGTGAGTTAGAGAAGCGTCAAGGTCCCCGTGCATATGCATATTGTGGGTCTGTATTGTCTGGACCCACAACTTGGGATGGCTAAAAACCCACTTTCAAATGGAAGCAGTCACTTTCAAGGATATTCACAGGGGGTCTAAGCGGTCTTGAAAAGAAAGGGGAAATGTGTGGAAGATTCACTTTCTGGAGAGAGCGCACTGTGGGCTTAATATCTGGGCCACTGACTACTGTGTCCCCACATGAGAGCAGTTGAATTGAGGACAAACATGGGCCAGTTCTCTTGTTTCCTGAGGCTCGAAGATGAAGGCGCTCACCCTGGAAGCAGAACCAACACAGCAACAAGGGATGCCCCCCGTAGCTTATGTGAAAGGCCCTGGACATAAACGAAAGTGGGGGTGGTATTATGCTTGGCACTTTCCTCAGTAAATTGGGTTTGTGGGAACAATTTGAACTTGAGCATTCACATGGATAGCCCCTGTTTTCTTGGAGGACATTGTAACAACCCTATCTTCCTCTCCTCTCCACATCTCTGCAGTGCAAAGGGCTTTGTTTTGGTTGGCCCTTTATTTTGCTGATGTACAATCTGTTGCTCTTGCTCTACATTCCTTTTGGAGCTGGTTTGATCACACAATCATTTGATGTTTCTTTAGGGGAGCGTGGAGGAGACATGGGGGAGAGGAGAAAGAGCATCATAGAGTGTGTTTTGTTTTCATTGCTCCTACCTCATTTTTTAAAAAGCTTCTGTGATTTTGTTGTATTATTACATTATTTCTCCAAACTTATGGTTAACAAGTTGGATGTTCCACACTGGTAAGTGATTCTTCTCCTTCCTTCCTTCCTTCCTTCCTTCCTTCCTTCCTTCCTTCCTTCCTTCCTTCCTTCCTTCCTTTTTCTTTCTTTCTTTTCCCTCTGGGTGGAAGAGTATACCAGCAAACCTATTCTCTTTCCAAATACATGAAAAAGGAGCAAAACATTGAAAAAAATCAAAGACACTACTTTTCACAACTTTCATCATTAAAATATTGATCAAACAGCTCTTCCTAATACAACCAGATATTTATACCACCCACTGAGGGAATAATCAGTGATCACTTTATCAGGAAGTGGTGGCATTCTTTATTTCCCTGTTAGCAGATGAAAGGATTCCGCCTCAGTGTGACACATCCGCCACTTCAACCCTTCCAGTCCTATCTTCCCTCTCCATCAGACTGGAGGCACCAAGGCTTTTCAGAATTGAGAGACAATATTTTCTTTAATAAGCACATGTAGGCTGCTGCACTCTATTACCATATTTCCTGAATAATGTTTTAAACTCACTTCTTAGTCACAAACTTCCTTGACATAACAACTGAAGAGTTTCCTAAGTGTTTGACTATTTTTATTTTTGTTCAGTTATTTTGCAATAGCACTTAGCATCAGGATATCCTGACCCTTGGAACAAAGGGGTTAAGAACAAAGAAAACAAATATATGATATAATATATATCACATACGCCAATATTATGAACATGACTCTTCATTGTACAGTTCTTCAAGAGTGAAGTTTTATTTTTTAATCCAAGGATATAAATTTACACTGTATTCTTCATAATATTTTACATATTTCCTTGTAAAATGTGAAGTTATAAGATGTTGGACCATGGAGCATGAAGACTTCCTATGGGAGATGAGTTAGGGCTAAGCAAACACTATTTCAAATTTTCATTCCTAAGGAAGAACCTACTTCACTTGAAGGTTTGAAAGTTAAAAATGTTTGCACAATTTAAAAAATTTCCCCCAATGTGGGATCATCTTCATCCCAGAGCAGAAGTGCAAAAATACCACAAGAAAGGTCGTTCTCATGGTATTTCTGGCTCACATAGAAACAGGAAGTACAGGAAATCTTGCGAGAAAGCTTGGCTCAGGAGATTTTGGCTCAACTGCAAGCTCAAAAGAGGGGCAAACTGATGGCTGGAACTTACTGGACTAAAATCTCTGTGTCACATTATTGCTCTGAAAGGTGGTTTTGTTACATTTTGCAGCTGGCATCTCTTAGGCTGTCATCCCTTTAGTCTTGCAGATAGTTACCTTAGAAGAACATGCCTATAAAGCTATAGTTTTTCCTCTGCTTGTGCCATGAGCATCATTCACTTTGATACTGTGTTAGCAGTCTGTGTCACAGGGTATGGGGCAACGGGTGGAGATACTCAGTGCTCAGAGGAGTCATGGGGCAAAGTCTCATCTACCTGACTTGTAAGAACTCTTAAAAATGTTAACATCTGTAATTCACGTGCTACAGTCAGAAAATTTTAGGACGGATTTTCAAAATAACCAAGTTTTTTTTTTTCAGTCATTGTGAGTCAACCTAACATCCCATTAAGAGGAGTTCTCTTCTTGTGTGAAAGAAATGTACTGAGAACTATCAAAGACAAAACAGCTTGTTCCAATGGAAACCTAATTCTAGCAGAAAGATTTCATGCATGGTTGCAGGTATAAAAGAGAAGAAATTGATAATGCTAAGACAAAAAGAAGAGTGTCCAAGGCATAGTTGATTTGGTCCCTGAATTATTTTGAAGAATCTTTAATGTTCTGATGGCTATGTAAAAATCTCATAGACTGTGGGTGCTCCAGTCACTAGACAGATAAGCCTTTTTATGATTTTAAAAATAAAATATTAACAATATTAAGTATATCCAATCATTCTAGAGAATGAACCTTAAAAATGCAAACTTAGAAACTGATATTCATTGCCACCTTATTTTCTTTTTAGTCAATAAATTCTCATAAAACCTCATCTTAATTAAAATCTAATTCAATTATTTTGGAAGTATTTGCTCTTTTAGTCCTCATCTCTTTTCTATCTTTTGGGGAAAAATGTCAAACTATTGATGGGACTGTCCTCTCCATCAATTCAGTTCAAATATGAATGTGTAAACACACACACACACACACACACACACGTGCACGTGACCACCCTGTTTTCACAGACGCAATTCAAATGCAACTCAAAATGAACAGGGAAGGGAACACAGGTCTTTTAACTTTGTTTAATGTAGTCTAAGTAGAAGAAGCTCAAACAATTTACAGTGTCCTTCAGGAGAAATAGAAATGTAATAGCTTTGGCCTTAGCTAATCTCAAGGAACGGTGCCAGTGAGTAGGGAAAAGGACTGGGTCTGCAGACCAACCATACAAGGCAGTACATATTTCTGTTGTCATGTGGGAAAGGGGGAGAGTGGGTGGGGCAAGATGAGGAAAGATGAGATGGGGGAGGTAAAGGGGTTGAGCTGGCAGATTCATAGTTTGATTTCACAACAGGTATCTAAGCTATACCCAATCACTCTCTTATTCACTTTGCAAGTATGTACTGACTGTGAGGATAACAGCAGCAAGAAGCACTTCCTGTCTTGGTCCCTGGGTTTTTTTTTCAGGTACCTGGACCTATATAGCTCTGTTGCCTAGATCCTGGCTTTCAGAGTGAATTACATCTGGTCTTCTTCCATTGTTGCTATTATTTTTTGTTTTTCTAAAGAGAGGAACCAGGGTTCCAGCTGGTGTCAGACCTCTACCCTGGCTCTTAGGTATCTTAATCTATGCTAAATTGACTGTTTCTGAGAGTTTTGCCAACTCAAGTGTTGAGATCAAGGTGGTAGGAAGACCTACTTGTCTTTCCTTGTTTCCCCCTTTCTAGTGAACATGGCCTCCTGTTCTTTTCCACATTGCACATAACTCTACAGTGTGTGACCCTGGCCACCTCTGACTGTAGCCTTTGCAGGATTCCAAAACATATCTTCTGATTGTGAAAGATCATAAGTGGTGGTAGAGGACACTTATTCATAATTTCATATTTGAGTGTGTCTACTTTTTATAAAACAGCTGCAACAATAAAATCTCTAAAATAACCCTACATGCCTACTGAGGTTTACAAAAACTGGGTTTCACTACCAAATTTTGCTTAAAACTTAGTGCCTTATCTACAAATGGATATAAGAGCAGAAATCACCTTATCCATTGCACTGGGATCTTATAAGAAGACCAAAATGTGAGCTATTTTAAAACCAAAATGTGATACAAAATTTAATATTATTATTTTTAAACTATAAGATACCATACTTGACAATTTACCTAAACTCAAATTTTAGCCAGGGATCTATTGGAAATCTTAAAAGTCAAACCCACCCCTTGAAGTCAACATCCCTTTGGAAATTTGCCCTCCTCATGGAGATACAGGCATTGAGGAAATCAAAGATAGGGGTAGCAGGTAGAGGGTATTGGGGAGTGGTCCTTGGGGATAGGGAGTGAGGAATTTAAGAGTGGAAAAGCAGAATAAGGTGGACAAAATTGTTGACCTGTGAACGAGCATAGTTAGATAAAAGATAATGTACGTGTGAAC